TTATACAACAATTTTTTAAAAAATATAAATTTATTTATTTTATTTGGAGGCTAATTACTTCACAATATTGTAGTGGTCCCGCCATACATTGACATGGCCATTTGCCTATTAAAGGACATTTTGCTTGTTTCCACTTTTTCACTATTACAAATAGAGATATTCTTTTTCGTGAAATTTCTCTTCATATAAAGCACTTTGCCTTTTGCCTTTAAGTACAATATGATCTTAGCTGTAAGGTTTTGGTTGATATCCTTTATTTATTTGAGCAAGTTCTCCTCATTTCTTGTTTTCTGTTTTTCTTATTGTGATTTTTTTTCCTTCATCAATTAATAGGATCATGGTTTTTTTTTTTTAAACTTATATGACAGCTTACACTGATTTTTAATATTCAACCAGCCTTGCATGCTAGAAATAAGTCCCATTTGGTCAGAGTGTATAAATATTTTTATATATTGCTGAATTACATTTGCTAATATTCTGTTAAGGATTTATGTGTCTATCTTCATGAGGGGATTGGTCTGCATGTTTCTTGTTTGCTTTTTTTTGCTTCTTCCTTCTGTTTTTTATTTTTGTTTTCTTTTTCTTGCTATGTATAGGTTATTTGAATTTTTTTAAAAAAATTGCATTTTAATTCATCTGTAGTGTTTTTCAGTGTATTTCTTTGCAAATAGTTTTATTTAGTTGTTGCTGTAGGTACTATGGGGCTTCCTTGGTGGCTCAGCTGGTAAAGAATCTGTATATTACATATGTGTAACTTACATATGCTGGTGTTGACATTTTACTAGTCAGAGAGAAAGGTGGAAACCTTACAAACTTTAATTTCTTTTACCTTTCCCTTCTTATAATGTAATTATCATACCTACTTCTATGTATGTTGAAAGGCATATCAGATGATGTATACTTATTTCAAACATCAACATAATTTGGAAAACTAAAGAGGAGGGTAGCGTATCGTATCTACCCATAGTTTTACTTACCGTGTTCTTTATTCCTTCTTGATATTGTCAGGTTTCTTCTTTTTGTTTTGCTTTAGTTTGCACATTTTCCAAAATGTTTTAGCCATTCTTTTAGGGTAAGTTTGCTGGTGACGCATTCTCTTCATTTTCTTTTGTCTGAGGATGTCTTTATTTCTCATTCATTTCTGAAAGATATTTTCACCGTGTTTTGTATTCAGAGTTGACAATTCTTTTATTTCAACTATTACAAAACACTGTGTCATTTCTTTCTGGCCTTCAAGCTTTCAGATGGAAAATTTATCACTGTCTTCGGAATTGTTTTTCCCTTTAAATAAGGTGGTGGTTCTTTCTTTCTGGGTTCAAAAAAAAAACAAAAACAAAAAACTGTTTTTAGTTTCTAGTTTGTTTATGATGTATCTCTGCACAGATTTCTTTGCATATTTCTTGTTTGGGGTCTTATGGAGTTTCTTGAATTAGTAGGTTTACATGTTTTGCAAATTTGGGAAATTTTCATTCCTAATTTCTTCAAATACTTTCTAACTCCATCTTTCTTCTTCCCTGGAACTATAATGGCATGAATCTTTTGGTATTTTAATTATGTGATTATAAACCCTGAAGTCCCTGAGGCTCTGTTTATTTTTTACTCTACTATTTTCTCTCTGTTTTTCAGATTGTGTAATTTCTGTTCTATTTTCAAGTTCATTGTTGTTCCTCTGTCCTTTCCATTCTGCTGTTGAATCCATCCGTTTGCTTTTTACATTTCAGTCATTTTTCAAAACATTCTAAAATTTCCACTTGGTCCTCTTGGCTTCCATGTCTTGTTCTAGAGCTAGAAAGTTAAACAATAAATTTTTGTACTGCTACTAAAGGAAGGACATTTTATTATCTTAGTTCTGCCCTTTGAAGCTAAATAAAATAAGAATATTAAGTGATAAGTATTATTTTCTGAATACTAACAGTCCTGAGGATTATTTTCTGTATGTTTTGCACTGATAACCTTATTTAATTCTTAAAGTAACACTAATATTTACTCATGTAAGAAATGTTTACTGATGGGTTACCATTTGTGACAACTTTGTTTTTTTTTAGCCACATATTTTCAGTTTAGCTGCAAATGGCTACATGGGTGATTTTTTTGGAAAAACTATTTCTGCAATTTCAGTAGTTTGCAGGCACAGGGAAAGAAGACTGCAAGCTGAATTCTCACATCTTCACATAAACCAGTCAAAAATTTTTCTTTATGGTTTCCATCTTTATTCCAATTCAGAGATTTATCAGTGCTTTATAGTGGACTAACAATTATTTTGAAAGAGTTATAGCTTTTCTGAGATTCAGATATGCTCAGGGTTATGGGTAGCTGTCAACTCTTTGATTGTCTTTCTGTGTCATGAAAAGGATTGGGAAGCACTTCTCTAGTTTACAGGTTGAAGAATGGATTCTTTTTCTGTACCAGTTGAACTTTGGGCATGCTAGAAAGTACAGCTTTATCATTCTTTACAAGTAAACTTCTCAAAAGAATTGTCTCCTGTTATTCTCCAACAGTGAGGTCAGAATCACCTGGTGGACTGTTAAAGGCTACAGAATTTCTTGTTAAAACACCTACAGAATTTCTGATTAAATCTAGGTGGTACCCAAGAATTTGCATTTTTAACAAGTGCCTGGCCAATGTTGATTATGTTATTTTAAGGATTTTTTGAACCAGTCATCTACACAGAATTTTTCTACTTCATCTTTCTTTGATTTTTCAGCTGCTTCAGTTTGGTTTCAATTTCATCCTTCTATCCAGAGTGCTTTTTCTAACATCCTTCCTGATATTAATGTTGCCAAATCAAATTCATAATTTTCAGTTCCTTATCTTACCTGACATGTAGAAATCATTTTATTGTTGTTTTCTTCTCCTGTTTAGGAAACTCAGTTTTTATTTGGTCTGGAGACCTCTATCTCTGCATCCCTCTTTTTTTCTATCTCTGCATGCTCTTTCTCAGTCTCTCTCTTTCCTTTATCTCAAATCAAACTCTGTTAGAATTCATTCTGGGTCCTCTTCATATCTTTTACCCTCTCTTCCTAAATGATCTAGTTATTCCTAGATCAAATGATCTAATAATTCCCAATTTATGTCTCCAGCTCAGATTTTCCTTTTAAGCTTTATTATAATTTAACTAATCGAGTTCCTGAATAACTTATAGGTGTTTGGAATAATACCTAAGATGCATATTTTATCATTTTAATGTGTATGAGTCTTACAGATTCCATGAAATAAAGTAACTCTTTTCTCTCCTTTCACTAAAAAAAGTGCTTCTCCCTCTCATAAATGGTCTTTATTAATGTCAGAAACCTGAGAGTTATCCTTGATGCTTGTCTTACTTAACGTTCTCATTTATACCCCTGAAACATCTCTCAGTTTCCTCTTTCCTTACCATGTCTGATACCATCACCTATGTTCAAGTCATAATCACCTGTTGTGAGTTATTACAGCTGTCTTTTAACTCATGGTGTCTTCTAACCCAATCTCTCTTTAGTACTTAGATTCATCTTTTTAAAATGTAAATCAGATCATGTCACCATCTTGCTTAAAATCCTTCAGTGAATGGAATTCATGATCTTTAATATGGTGTGAAAGACCTCTCTAAGCGGATTGGTGCTGCCTCTCCAGTCTCAGGTAGTACCACATTCTCCCTCATTCTCTTTGGTTCAGGCACGCTGGTTCCGTCAGGGTTTTGTGCAGAACCATCCTGTTCTTCCTGGAATGCTTTCCTCCGCTTTCCATCTGCCTGTATCTTTATCTGTCCTTTATAGGTCACATATTTCAGTTCTCAAACATCACTTCTTCAGAGGTTTTTGCTGACCCCCAAATCTAAATTAAATGCTATTATACTCTTTCAGTGTTTTGCACATCCTATATGACACTGATGATTTATTTATGTTTATCTCCTTTCTGCTGAATGTCTCATTGTTTTACCCCTTACCTTGAGGTTTAGCACAATGCACAGCAATATGAAAGTGTTTAATAAATATTTTTAAATATATGAAAATATGAATAGAGCTTAACAAGATGTGCACATGTAGATGAAAAACTTCTTTTCCAAGGTAAGACAAATAAGGAGCACATAAGTTTGAGAAATGGATATTTATTGTGAGTTGCCAGTTACACAAATTATCTGAAAAATTATTTGAGCAGAAAATTTATTTTTAGGAGAATGAAATTTCTGAAAAAAACTTGAAAAGTTGCTTCACAATAATGTCAAGTAATTCATGATATTTAAGGGAAGTTTATATTTACTAATAGAAGTTGAGTGAACCTGTTTTGTCATTTTCATATAGATTTGATCTTTTGTGTAACCAATTCTTTTTTTAATCACTCAAAAATTTTAGGAGGTTTCAGCATTAAGAAATATCATGCTATATTCCAGAAACATTTAATTACTTCATTTTTCATTATAGTGGTTATTAGCAATCCACTGTTTAATTTTTTAAATGCTTCTTAATCTTTGGGGAACAAACTTATGTCTGTAGGCCAGCATCAAAAAAATAGCATAAGTAACAGACATCGCTGAAAGTCTTTTTCTTTTTTTCAGACTATATAATTTTTTTCCTTTATATTCCTGTTTAGTAGTAGCTATCTCTTTTCTTGCAGCAGTTTTGTTCTGTAGAGTTTGTCTAGAGTACATAAGTGTTCTGCATTCTATAAATTTACTCGAAATCTTAGCTTTCTCTTGGTATACATTGTGTGTGCTTACAGATAAAGTACTTAAAACTGGAGGGGATCACACTGTTTAAAATGTTGATTATGCCTTTGTCTGCCCTTTCTTTCGCCGTCTCCTTTACTTCCCTCTTTTGTCTGTCTGACTCTCACAGGAGATGTGGATCACAACTGGTTGGACCATACGTCTTGGCATAGCAGTGAGGCATCCCCAATGTCTTTGGTGAGACATGTGGGGCCTTACTATCTAATTTCTGTTATCATTTCACTTTTCCTTTTGGATTTACACCTTTGCATGTTTTCTTTTTGTATCTTTTTCTTTTTTTTTTATCCCACACCTGTAGGGGACAGTCAAAAGGGAAAAAGAAAAACTAGTGAGCAGGCAGTTTTGTCGGACTCTAACACCAGGTCTGGGAGACAAGAGAAAATGATGTGCTTTGGCGGCCACTCTTTGGAAGAGGACTTGGAATGGTCTGAGCCTCAGATTAAGGACTCTGGGGTAGACACGTGTAGTAGCACAACCCTTAATGAGGAGCATAGCCGTAGTGATGAGGTACTGAGACTGTGGAGCCTGCCTTCTAACCCGCTCATTTGGTCTTCGTTTGCTCTGTCACTCATTCAGACGGAACATAATAAAAGGACAGGGCATTTCAGGGGTCGATAATAGCATTTCTTAAGGTGCAGAAAAGAAAAACAAAACCAAAACAAACCAATCAACCAAAATACTTCTTGCTTGCTTTGCTGTTTTTGCTTTTTGACGGCATACGAAAAAATAAGTAAATGAAAATAAAAATTAGGAACAATGGAATGTTTTGTTTATGGTCGCATGAAAGAACTTGGTAGTGTTATTATAAATCACAAATATAAAGAATTTTTTTTGGATTGGCTTATTTGACTGCTTGCATATATTTTCCTTGGGATGAAAATTAAATTATTGACAGTTTGAATCCCAGGTAACAGGGAGATAATTGGGTCTGTTTGCACAGAAAAAGTTGTTTTTCTTTTTTCCCTTTCACTGTCATTTTGCTCTTTTGTTTCATTGTCATAGCATTTTAATGTAGTATCAATTAGTATTAGAGCCGTTGCCGTCTGCTTTGGTATTTATTGTTTGCTTTTAGTATAGTGGGACTTTTGAAATCTTTTTATCATATAGATGTTATTTACTGAAACTTGTCTTTTGCCTGCTAAATTTTGCATGAAGATGTGCATGTTAACTTTTAGATAACTGTGAAACTGTGATTACACAAATCGTTTACTTTGTTATTTGACATATAATATATAATGGAATTGTGTCATGATTTAGAAAAGGCTTGAGAAAAACTAATATTTTCAAGGTTGTTTAACAGTATTTAACAGTACCCTTGAATTATCAAATAAATAGATCAGAAACCTGAAAGAGTCAAGAAACCTCCAAAAAATGAGCAATGTAATCTGTCCTCATGTTTGAATTGGACCTGTTTCTCCCATGCACATTCATTTGGAAAGTTACCTAGCCTTGTGTATTTTTAATAATTTTTATCTAGAAACCTATTTCAAGAAAACCCTCTTCAGTTTTCATATTTTAAATTAGCTTGACCTTTTAACTTTTACTGTAATAAAGTCTTTCAAAGTCTTCCAGAAGAGCTTGAAGATGAAATTCTCATTTTTGAATGAGTTCAATTGCATAGAATTAGAGTCTCTTTTCTGCCTATCATTTTTAATCTTCAGTATGTAGATAATTAGAGTCTGCATATATTTTTAAGATTAATCAGTTTTTGTAGAACTATATAACTTCAGTATTGTGTCAGAGCATGTTAGAATTTGAAGTAACTGGTTTTTTGAACAAACTTGAGATATTAAAATAACATTATAAGCATAATCTTATCATCTTATTAAATTTTTGACCAATGTTTTGACTGAAAGCTGGTTTGTGTAATCATAACACTTTGGAAATTGCAAGTTTAGAGAGACTGTACAATAAAGGATCATTTATCATAAAAGAACATTAATTTTTGTGTTTATTGATGCAATATGTCAGCACCCTGTGACGTGGCAGCCATCTAAAGATGGAGATCGTTTAATTGGTCGCATTTTATTAAATAAGCGTTTAAAAGATGGAAGTGTACCTCGAGATTCAGGAGCAATGCTTGGCTTGAAGGTATGTGATGAAATATGTGAGATGCTCTATACTCCTTTATAGATTTATCAGAAAAGCAAAAGATATAGTAACTCTATACCAATTTAGTGTTTTTTTTCCATTTTCAAGAATTCCTAAATATTTGCACTCATTTTTCGAAACCTTTTCATTTCCAAGTATTACTTAAAAAGTTGCCATTATTTTACAGTAATACATATTTATTTAGTTTTGGAAAATAGAACTTGAGTTATATACTTGAATTCTAAATACAGTGCTTAAGCTTATTTTACCTATAGTTGTCCTTCAGGTCTATGTATGTGTTTCTATTCTATTAAAATGATAGCTTTGTTCAATTATTAAATGTGCAAATGTGGGAAATATATGTATTACATAGGAATATAATCTGTATTAGCATAGCAAAATATGTCTGTGTTTGTGTGTGTTTGTGTGTGAGAGAGAGAAAGAGAATAGTGTTTGAAGTCTAAAAACTCAGAAATACTTATGTTAGGAGATTTCATGTAAGTACTGATTTGTATTTTACTGTAAAATATCAGACAATTATTTGTTAAGTACACCAAAGAAGGTTCTGTTTATTTTTTGTGTATCTGTAAGGCGAATAAAAAACTGAAATGCAAAGAGAGTTTTAGAATTGAGTCATTGCTACAGAAGTAGTTGTATAGAATCCAAGAAGAGATATTTGAAAATTTTGATTGTAAATAAAGCTGTGCATCATTTATTGGGTGGTTGCCATGTGGCTGGCACTCGTTTGAGCACTTTATCATTTTACTGACTCTCAGATAAGAAATAAGCTTAGCAAGGTATTGTAAATTGCCCATGGTCTCAAAGATAGTGATGAAGGTGAGAATTAAATCCAGATCTGCCCAGTGTAGAGTTAGAACTGCAGTATAGTATAGAGGTCGGGATGCCTTGGCTTGACTTCTATTTATAGCAGTTACTAGCTATATGACATTAGGCAACTAAACTTCTCTTAGCCTCAGACCCTTCATCTGTACAACGGAGATAATAATACTGAGAATTATTATCTAGTAAGATTAAATAAAGCAATATACAAACATTAAGTACTGTGCCTGGCACTCTGAGATTTCAATGATAATAATTATAGTCAGTATAATTATTATTAACATTTATCAAGTCAAGAAAATTTTAATATATTATTAACACAGGGATTTCAGCCCATATTATCTATACATGTAATTTTCAGAACCAAACATTTGAATAATTAGTTAATATTAACTGAACTGCCGCTGCGTGTTATTCACTGCAGTTGGGGAATAAATACATGGAATAAGATAAATCAATAATTTTTAAATTCTGTATCTTTCAGTCAGTTGAGAAGAGGGGAAAAAAATCTATTCTAATCAATAAAATTAGTTACTATTTTTGCATAATTTGCTACAAAGTTGATATATTGATTGATTGGCAGTTCTGAGAATCAAAGCATTAATTTTTAAGAGACTAGTCTTATAGCTACACATATGATTCCACCATGTTAATGCTAACCTTTGTTTTTTTTCTTTTTCTGAAACATATGTGGTAATAGAAGCAGAAAAATTGGGATGCAGATGGTTCTAAAGTTTACATTAATTTGGATGAGATTAAGTAAATTTTGTAATTTTCTTAGGAAAAATCCATCATCATCATGCACGTTATTAATGTACCCCAAAGATTACCAACTAATAAAATTTTTAGACGATATCATAATTATAGTAAAAGTAATAAAGTATGTAGTATGATACTTGACATCTATAACTAGAAATTTATAATTAGAAATGTTAATGTAATTATATGTAATTATGTAGTATTGTGTAGTAACATTTTTAGAAATGACAAAAGTAAGAATTCTGTAATAAAGGCAGAAATTATAAATTGTTTCTAAGGTATCCAACATTTTCAACAAATAATTGCTTAAATTGTAAAACATTTGGAGTACGTATACTTTGACATATACCTTGACATATACTCAGTTCCTAATAATAACGCTATATTATTTAAAAATTATTTTTAACATAATAAATTATAGTTTCAAAACTTGCAAATTATCTAGTTATGTTTTACTTGAATCTTCAACTGTGTTCAATTGAACAGAAATGCCTGTTTTAACATTTTCTTCTTTTAAACAGGTTGTAGGAGGAAAGATGACTGAATCAGGTCGGCTCTGTGCTTTTATAACCAAAGTTAAAAAAGGAAGTTTAGCTGATACTGTAGGACATCTTAGACCAGGTAGGTTTCAATTTTTGGTTATTTACACTTAAACTGTTAAACTTAGTAGTTATGAAAAAGTTGTCCTCATTTAGAAGTGACTTCACTGGTAACCAAAATTTCATTTAACTTAAATATTAATTTTTAGTAATCAATGGAAAGTTGTAGCTATTAGTTCTTGAGTTACAGTAGATAAAAAAATTTTTATATTTACTGATCTTATTTTTTTGTTGATGGATATTCCTAGTCCATATCTCAGATTAGCATAATTTGTTTCCCATAAGCCTTATTTCTTTTGAAGAACTTCTAGTATAGTTTAAAAAGCAAATTTCATGGATAAATAGTTTTTCCTGAAATATGTCACTCCTTATGTCTTTTATAATGGATACTATTGAAGAGAACCGTGAATGCCTTGGAGAGGATTCAGTGAATGATCAATGTTAAACTTTTCATAAAAGAGATTAGACAAGTGCTCAACTACATATATATTGAGAATCTTAGAATACAGAGTTACACATTTTTCAAAGAGGCTACTGATCTTGATAGTTTCTAGAATTGCAATTTCTATTAAGAAACAGCAGACAAGAGTGATGTCACCAAGTTGGAGACAGGTTGTTCCCAACTTGCTTCCCCTTGCAGGAACAACTAACAGCTATTCAGGGACAGGACACTATTGAAAATAATTGTAGATATCACAGAGATGACTTTTACGTAATCTTTTCCTCTGGTCTTTCCTTGTCCTTTTGTGTGAAATTTACTAATCATCCCAGTCATCACATTTTATGCCATTGGAGCTGTTCTCAGTATGTTTTTTATTCCATAATGGTGCTTGCATTCTACAAAGTTCATTGCAGTTTGAGATTGCATTAGTTTCCAGTGCATTTTGTGAAGTTAGATTTTCTTTCTAAGATTATCATTGCTGACACACACCACAGGTGATGAAGTACTAGAATGGAATGGAAGACTATTGCAAGGAGCCACATTTGAAGAAGTGTATAACATCATCCTGGAATCCAAACCTGAACCACAGGTGGAGCTTGTTGTTTCAAGGCCTATTGGGTGAGTTGATCTGAATACTTTACACATGTATAAATTTGACTGTGTGTGTATGCTCAGTCATGCAGTTGTGTCTGACTCTTGTGACCCTAAGAACTGGAGCCCACCAGGCTTCTCTGTCCATGGGATTTTCCAGGCAAGAATACTGGAGTTGCCATTTCCTCCTCCAGGGGATCTTCTCTACCCAAAGATCAAACTCCTATCTCCTGTGCTGGCAGGTGAATTCTTTACTACTGCACCACTGGGAAGTCATAAAGTTGAGTACTATTAAACAATTTGCAATATGCAATTCAATAATATCTGATTGCTTTATAAAACTAAATTTTTTTAGGATAGTGCTTTTTACTCCTTTACTAAAAACACGTTATCAAAAATGACATCTTTTTATCTGATCATGAATATATAGTTAATTACAAAAGAAGAAAATTTAGGTGTTTATAATTTTTCTTAGGGCTTCCCTGATAGCTCAGTTGGTAAAGAATCTGCCTGCAATGTAGGAGACCCTAGTTCGATTCCTGGGTTGGGAAGCTCCCCTGGAGAGGGGATAGGCTACCCTCTCCAGTATTCTCGGGCTTCCCTTGTTGCTCAGCTGGTAAAAAAATCTGCCTGCAGTACACGAGACCTGGGTTCAATTCCTAGGTTGGGAAGATCCCAGAGAAGGGAAAGTCTAACCATTCCAGTATTCTAGCCTAGAGAATTCCATGGACTGTATGTTTTTATTTTTTTAATATTTAAGATAATTTTTATTATCTTAGTAACTCAGTAGATAGCTAAAGGATTAGCAGAAGGGGACTATAGTAACAGTTATTCTCAAAAGAAGTTTCATAATCTGTGGTTCTCTACATTGCACAAGAATCAGCTATATTCTATGAATTTTATCTGTTTTTTCCAAAATGGAGATTTAATATAAAAAAAAGAGACAGGTTAAGGGCACACTGTTTCTAGATGGAGGCAGCCACTTAAGGAAAAATGAACATCTTTAAGTTAACAGATAAAAAGTAAGCAAACATCAATTACTCTTTAACTTTTTAAATTGGCAATAAATATAATCCTTTTTAGTAATTTTTATTAATAATCATTTTTATTATTATTTTAAGTATAATCCTTTTTAATCTAGTGAATAATTATGTTTACTTTTTAATTATGTTGTTAGAATTACTCATGAAATACTGCAGCAGTATTTCCTTTACAGAAGCTTGTATTCTAAGCCAATGTAAAAGAGAAACCTATAACTTAAAAAAGCAATAGAAAAATATATAAAGTAACAGTGAATTATTAAATGCATGTCTGGTGTAAAAGTATTCCAGGGTAGAAACTGGATATTTCTTCTTCTTATAGATAGAATACTAATGCCTAGTTTTAAGTCATTTAGGATGAGTTTTTCATGATGAAATTGCTTCATGAAGGAAATTGTCATGATGGAAATTACTTCAATTGGTAACTTAATTTTCAAAATGTTCCTTTCAAAAGTAATGAATCTATCACATGAAATTATATCTATTTTTTATTTTCTTTTCATAGTTTTGCTATATGGTTAAACTATTACCTTAGGGCATTAATTAAATAAATGTGTTTCTTGGTATTAAGGAATTCTCCAATCACATTTTTGTTTACTATTTAAGTATTATTGATGCAGCTTTTTGAATGAGCTTAGCCATTAATATATATCATCCTTGGCAAATCTCAAACAAAAATGTGCATACTAGGTGTAAATAAATGCATTACAGAGTAGTTATGTTAAGTCAAATAAAAACATGTTTACTTTTTTCTTAGTAGAATTATTATGTTTAAAAAATTTCAGTCACAACTCAAGTATTTTAATTTTTATTTTGGTGATATTTTATTTGAATTTCAATGCTGCTGATTTGAACAACAGCAGGTACAATGTAAAGAGTAGAGTATAATTAAAATATATCTCTAAAACTTACCTTGTTTTGAGTATAGAAATTTTATGAATGGAAAATTGTATAGTAAAACACATAGGGAATGAATTGTATATTTTCATAAATCTTCCCCAAATGCATGTAATTTTTCATTTTTTTAAGTAGTAGGAGTCAGCCCTGAGAACTTTGATTAGCAATAAAGTGCTATGATTTTTTTCTCCTTATTTATATAATGCTTCTATCATGCACAGTTTTGTTAATTTTGCACTGTCCTGTTATAATATAGATTAATAATTGTCATAATAGTAGTTCCTACTACTTTTTAAAATAATTTCTAATTTTTTTTCTTTTTCTGTCATTTCAGAGATATACCTAGAATACCTGATAGCACACACACACAACTGGAGTCCAGTAAGTTTTATTTATTTTAGGAGAAAATGTCATTAATAAAGCCATTCATCATCTGAGTCAAGTGAATTCTTTATTAATATAAAGTAAGAAATATAATGGTACTGTTATCAAGTGTGCAGTTGTATAAAGATGGAAGATTTAGTATTATTTCATGTTATTGTGGAAAAAAGTACAAAAGTCTGTATCTTAAGGTGATTTTTTTAAACTACACTGTCTTAACTACCATGTATTTTTTAGATAGCTGTATTAAGGTATATTACTATAAACTGAACATATTTAAAATGCACAGTTAGGTAAGTTTTTATATACATGCGAATCTGTCATCATTTTAAAAAATAATGAACATATCATCACTACTCAAAATTTCACTCTCTCCCCAAATTTCACCTAATTTTAAAATTTACTACTTGGTAACCCAGTCCTCAGTAAATGTGGGGAATCCTGAGGACAATCTAGTGAATAATTACATATATATATATTCTTATTTATATTTTTAGAAAATGGGTAATAGTTCTGATTTAACAAAGTAGTAATGGAACAATAGACATTTAAGTTGAAATAACATTAAATATATAAACATTTTAAATTACTTGTGTTTGAGTGATACTTCAGATATTAAGCAAATATCTTAAGCAAATATAAGTTAAAATTATTACAATTTTATATATTATATAGACATTTAAAAATTATATAGACATTTTAAATTACTTGTGTTTGAGTGCTACTTTCAGATATTAAGCAAACAAATTTTTTCTAATGAATTAAGTTCGTTGACTGATTAATAGGAAGGCATGTTTTGAAGGAAGAGAGGAGGGTTGCAGTTTGAAATACGTTGATCAGGATAGACCACATTGAAACGGAAGAATTGGAGCAAGTTGGACAGAGTGGCAATCTGAGGAGAAAGCTTTTCAGGTATAGAGGGCAGAGTTTCAATGGTGCTAAGCCAGGAAAGCCTAAGATGCATTTAAGAAAAAGCAAAAAGACTGTTGTGGCTGCAAGAGTGAGCAAAGGGAAGAATGGCAGCGGGGAGGACAGGGAGGGAATGGGAGCCAAACTGCAGAGACTTTACGAGGCACTGTGAAGAATTTGGCTTTTACTCTAAGGGAAATCAGGAGCTACAAAGGATGTTTTTGGGGAGAAACTTATATTTTACAATCTGGGTGCTGTGTTGAAAAAAGACTAAATGAAGTGAAAGCAGAGAGACTAATGAGAAGGCTATTTCAGTACTTGAGTGGTGAGCCAATGGTAACTTAGACCATGATGGTTGCAATGAAGGTGGTAAGAAGTGATTGGATTCTCTGTACACATGACAATTGACAGTATACCATTAAAATAGATGGGGTTTTTTACATTTATAATTATGAGTATAAATTTAAAAAAAAAGAAAAACTTTACCAGAGAGGTCAAATCATTTTGAAATGGCTTAGCTCTAAATTTTAAAATTTGATTATATGATATATTTGCTTTAGTACCTTTGGCTGGTTGCTAAATTATTTTATTCAAAATAATATGATCACATAAAATTATAAGTACTAGCATAATGATATCATCATCACTCCTATTTTGGATGCCTGGAACTGTGCTAGATATTGTTACTTATACTAATTTTCACAACAGTCTATGATGTAGGTAAAATTTTCATTCACTTACATCACCCAGATATTGTATAAGCAGTATGGAATCCTTTATCTTATTGTAGCTATTTGAAAAACCCCTAGGCTACAATTCCAAAATTGTTTCTGTTAGGGCAGGGGTCCTTTCTCAAATAAGATTGAATCCTGTTTGCTTTAGAAGTTGAAGAATAGCTTTCTCCAAGGCCTAATTCTTAGCCTCTATTTTTAGTTCCTCAGTAAGTTTTTCTCTTCATATAATTTTAATTGCCACATGACTCCTAAGTTACATTATCAAAATGATCTATCATTGTCCCTTCAGCCCTGGATATTTAAAGAATATTGAAGAATATGTTCTAAGTGTCTTCCTGTTACTTGAAGCTTAGCTTATTTCTTAATATAAAGGCAGTATTCTTTCCACTTCTAAATGCTATGAAGGTATCACCATTACTTCTGATCCCAAGGCTTACAGTTTCCCTCTTCATTTTACACTGTATTCTCTCTGGAAGTGAATACTATCCATGTAGGACCCCAATTAGGGTGACACTTTACATTTTAATTTCTAACACTAATATCTATTGGACATTTGGTCCCATCTGCGCATCTGTTGCCTGCTTTACATTTCCCCGTGGATGTCTGCAGTGTTGCAGGGTCACTGTGACAGGTCCCAGATTAACCTCTCCAACCATTCCTTTACACACAGAACTTCTCCACAGTTCTGCACCCAGGGAATATCCTCTGTGTCCTGTGCAGAGAACAAGACATAGGAGCCCATATCTGGTTACAAGCCTTGAACTCTTCATGTCCCCCCTTTAGCTTAATCTTGCATATCTAATTAATTTGAGTCCTCATTTTCTAATTTTGTGATATTGCCTCAATTCTTTCTTTTCAGTCCATTTTCCAGTCATTCCTATTCTTTTTCTATTTTATTGAATTCCACTTATTCTTAACTATTTTTCATCTTGCTCAATTCAGACACTTTAAATGAATGGTAAAGACATCTTCCTCAAATGCAGTTTTTATTACCTTACCCATAAAAATTTAGCATGGATATTTTATTAGTGCCAAAATTTGTAGCTCAGAATTCCAGGCATTTAATTCTGTCAGTATCTCATTAGCCCCATTTTATTCACTTTGCAATTTGTTCATTCCTCTCCATACAAATAAATTCATACATATAACTTCTGGGTACTGAAGTTCTGCTTTTTCTGCTCTCCTATATCTTTTTTTCATAGCTCCTCACTTTCTTTTTACCCATCTAATTTATTATATCCTTCCAGATATGGTTAAAAACCACTGCTGAAAACTTTTCACAGTTAATATTCTAGTAATTACATTTTTAGCATTACAAGTTTAGACCATGTTTGAGTTGCTTTATTGATTTAGATTTTGGCTTGGGTTTTTCCTTCTGAAGTTTCTATTTTTAAAATTTCCTAGTATATTATTGTAAGATATGAGTTTAGAACACATAACAGATGAAGTAACTAGGTTCTAATGTCTGTCTCTTCTGTAATTGGCACAGAAAATGGTTCACCCTTGGTCTTTCAAGAATCCCTAAGCTGCACTTACGCTTTTAAAGAAACCCTTTAAGTATATTTAGAACATTGTGGCTAAGAAAAAGGTCTATATAATGGAATTTTGTAGGTATTAAAAATAACAAGATATGTGGTAAAGATGATTAAATACTAATGAAGAATCATTGTTGTTATTCTTTGTGTATAATTGCCATTTCAGGTTCTAGCTCATTCGAATCTCAAAAAATGGATCGTCCTTCTATTTCTGTTACATCTCCCATGAGTCCTGGCATGTTGAGGGATGTTCCACAGTTCTTATCTGGACAACTTTCAGTATGTAATCACTAGATTAATTTCTCTTTTTGGGATATCAAGTAGTATTTTTACTATATGATGCCATTTGTTTTGTGAACCAAGTCCTATTTAGAATATAATTGTTTTTCACCATCAACTTTGTCATTCTTAGTAATTTTAATTAATTTAAATTCAATTTTAATTATCTAATAGAATGCTTTCTTTATTAGAGCTAGATTTTTCTGGAATTTGGTGAGAATTAGAATTTGTGATGCTATCTAAAACCTTTTTCAGTAAGTAATGTTATTCCAAAATTCAAGGTCATGATTTTTGCTCAGCTAAGAAAATGGGGAAATATATAATAGATTGCTGAGTATATCATGTGGCTTTCATATTAAGTGACCCCTAATTTGAACATTTTATAATAAAAGTTAAAAATTAAGTTATCCATCTTGTACCCATATTAGAAGAGCTTTGCAAATTTAGGCTCTCACATTTTATTAATTTCTAAAGTTGTCATTCTCTTTTAAACCATTTTAAAATGTTAAAATGTATCCACTTATATTTTAGAAACAAACAGATTAATATTGATACTAATTCTGATGAGTTACTAACCTGAAATTTTATGAGTATTAAGAACTCTTTAGATTCTCAAAATTCAGACATCGAATTTTGGATAATTGTTACTGTTATAGTTAAAAGCAAAACTGTTCTTGGTCTAATTTAAAAGCAGTTTCTAGCTTTGTTAAATTAGGTACAGATTTTGTCCTTTTATTTTCTGGGAGAAGGAGAAGTATTTGATTTTTCTTAAGAGTTTCCATGAATTAGATGAAGATACAGGAAGTATAAGCAGAAATAACATAGTAAAAGTCATCAGGCCCATCTGTTCTGAGACTACTTTAATCACAAAAATGAGAATAACAAAATATGAAATACTATTAGGAGATTGTAAATGTCTTACTAAAATGGATTTCTTCTCTTTATTATTTTCTTTTCCTTTCTCTTTCATAAACAGAGTGAACTTTATCATTTGAGGACAGTGGTGTTTTTTCCATTTTCCACAATAAGTAGCATCTTTCTACTTATTCTCTTACATACATTGACAGCACAGATGTTGGCATTTATGGTTACAAGTATATGTGTATTTTCTTCTACCATTTTAGAAAGTGTTAGTAAATGTTAGCTTTTAATTTTTAATCATGGCTTCCCTTTCATCTATAAGTAAAGCACTGGGTGGCTGATGATGCCAGTAGGTATTAAATCTATGTGTGTGTGTGAGAGTGTGTGTGTGTGTGTACTTAGCTTCAGGTGGTGAATGAGGGAGTGGACGCTAGACTCCCATAATAAGTAAGTACCACTTTGTTGCTGCCTCTTTTGAAATCTCAAGGTTATATTAGAAATTGAACTAGGAACAGAGGGTTCATAGTATGGGCATTTAGACAGATTTCAAATTCAACTACTTTTCCTCATGGTTCAAAGTGAATTTGGTAGAAAGGTAAGACTGTTAAATATTTGGAGAAAACATAAACTTAAATGTATATAGTACTTGTGTTTGTACGTGAAGGTTTAAAATGTATATAATGGTAATTTAACATGTGTTCCATTTTACCACTTTTTATGACCTAGAAGAAGTGTGTTCTAGCAAGATAATGTTTATAAATATGATATATATTTCTTTTGGTAAATTGAGAAAGCACAGATAAATAAAAAATTAAATCACTATATTCTTGCTACTAAAGCATAGTCATTCACATACATACAAATTTTTAAACAGAATTATAATAAATCTGTGTATACTATTTTAAAACTTGCTTTTTTACTCAATGTATCATATACATTTTCCTTTATTTTTTTTAATTCATCCTAAAATGATTTAAATTGCTATTTAATACTCCATTTTAACTTAATTTGCTATTATAGGATATCTTGCTTGTTTCTAATTTATAGTATTTTAAGTAATGATGCCATGGAAATCCTTGAATATAAATCTTGCATATTTTGTTAGGACAAAATTCTTTTGTCGGGATAATTTTTATCTGGATATAAAATTACAATGTGAAAGAAAACAAGCTTAAGATTCTTGAAATCTCTTGCCAAAACTTTCCTCCAACATACTTTTGTCAAATTAAACTACAATTATCAATTCAAGTAATATATGTTAAGATCTATCCCCTCATCAGTTATAATACTAGTAGCTGAGAGAATACAGCAATGAGCAGAGGATTTTTACCTTCATAAAACTTAATTTTGCCTTCATTCTATTCATGCAACAAAACTAAGCAAGATACCCTTCTGGATATAGTATTTTCCTTTATATTTAACACCATTTTTGCCAACTGGAGACAATTTTTGTTTTGCTCTAATGATGCAGAGGTTGGGAAAACATTTGTCCACTTATATCATGCTTCAGGGAAACACCCAGAAAGTCATGAGGAAACATTTTTTCCTATATCCTTCTGTTCTACCTTGGGATATTTTCGATTTTCGATGAGATTTTACCTGGGTCCATAACTCACTTATAAAATTATGACATTGTTAATGTCTGCTAGCATAATGTCTGACAAGATAATTTGTATATTATGTGAGCTGACCTCCCTGATATATTTATGTTGGTTCATGGACTGGTATTTTCTCAAATATATGATATATATATATAACATTATTTAAACTTTCATGCACAAGGCTGTTCTTGATGAATTTAAAAATATTATTCCATTTATTTCTTCATGCTTGAATTGTGCTGCTAGCTTGTTATTATTCTTGGGCATAACTATGAAAGTGCCATTATTGTGTTTGGTGAGAAAATCTGTATGAGCTTAGGTCTATGACACTTGGACTGTATGTTAGTCTTTTCGGTGTCAGCAATCCCTTATTTTGATTCTTTTTTAAATTTGTGGTCTTCCATAATTTAGCAGTTTCCTTGTTTGCAGGATTGCTTCTGTAATCCTCTCAATATTTTAAAATTAATTTCAGCCTTTGACTAGTTTTTTGATAGAGTGTTAAATTAAGATATAGCCTTTAACTATTTCAAAAGTGAGAAGTGACTCAGAATTTTGTCTCAAGGAACACATTAATTCTTATTGACAATCATTATTTTACTCCAGAGTCTGTGGCTAACTAATAGCTGCAATGTTTTTCCCTAAGTTACTTTGTTTTAATATTTTTCTGACTCCATTTTTAGTGATGAGCTTGTAAATACTGTATATATCCATTTTATGCCCATTTAAAGGGACTAAGTAGCTGAAGAATAGGTATGTATTCTTTATATCTACTTAGAAATTCGATAGCCATTTTCAAACTTTCTATAAATGAAAATTTTTTCTTTGAGCTTTTATCTTTTATATTTCTTTGTTACAACCTTGTTATTTTAGAAGTATTATGTAAGAAGAATGTCCTGAAGTTGGTAGTGCCGGATGAAGTATGAAGGGACATTAAAAATCCAAAATAAATCATGGTGTTCAAATTCTTCATTTGTATGAAACTGAATTGTTACAGATATTATCAGACATTTCATGCTTAAAATAAATGAATTCATATTTATCACAAATTGCAATGAGATGCATAATACTTCACCATTTTTTTATGAAATATCCAGAATCTATAGAGATAGAAAGCAGTTTAGTAGTTGCCAGAAACTGGGGCAATGGGGAAATGGTAAGCGATTACTCAATAGATACAGAGTGTGATGACTCATGACTCTTCTGGTGTGATGAAAAAGTTTTGAAACTAGAAGGAGGTGGTGGTGACACAGCATTGTGGATTCACTAAATGCCACTGAATTGTACACTTTAAAATGGTTAATGGCATGTTATTTTAATCTCTCCTCAATTTAAAATAATCTGACAAAACAAAATATGTTTACATAGCCAAGTTTAATGTATAAGCTTGTGGGTAAAGGTTAGGTTTATATTGGTATAGTTTCAGACAGTTGATTTCAAAAATCTATGAGTTGCTCATTTGAGGTCATTTTGGAAGATGGAAAAATGTTGACCTTAAAGGATTACTTTATTTCAAAGCACTATTTCTTTGAAAGTAAATGTTTTAGTTTTGAAGTAATATTTACTTGCAGAAATCTTTCATTACCTTGATATTTTTGGTCAACAACAGGTAGGACAGTTGGGAAGGCAAGAAAAGTAAGCTATATTTCTAAATTGAGTGCATTGTTAGTCCTGTTCTTCAGCATGCCTAGCTAATCTCTACGAATTTCAAACATCCCTTACCCTTTGGCTAGAGAATTATCCACTTAGGGTTATGCAGACAGATACCAGGAACATACTCCATATCTAAATGTTCCTTTCTCCCTTTGGAAATGTCTCCACATGAAAGGGAAGACAACTGAGATTTGAGACTGTCTTGGTTTTCAGAGATAAAGATGACTCGTGGCTGAATGATAGTCTGCTTTAAAGATTCACTTTCCTTTGGGATTTATATTATGTCTTAAACTATCATCAGGTTTTGTCTGATGATGGCTACATTGGACAGCAGTCCTCCTAGTACTTATTATCTGTTTCCATATAGCAGTGGAAATATCTGAAACCTTTAACTGTTCACAACTGTTAATTAAACGAGAGAATGCATGAAAAATGTGAGAGATGGGATAGAATCTTGGTGAAAGAACAAGAAGTAAATGCCCTGATATCCATTCCCAAACCCAGGAACTTGAATCTGATTTTGTTCCTCTTGTAACTGTTGGCATGTCTTAATAAAGGCACAATGTTCCAATGGTTGTGGTATCTTTGGGAAGCTGTTTCAAAATGAAAAAAAAAAAAAAGTTAGAAGAGAAAAGAAATTTGGTTTTATTCTATGAATTTGAAATAGAGTGTTTTAACCAGAATTGAGCTTTAGTATTTGCCTTTGAAACTGTCTTACTTTTTGAGATTGCACAGGTATGTCTAGGCCTTTTTTTAATGTCTCTGTTTCCTCATCTACATACTGGAGATAACAACAACTACTTCCTAGTGTTGTTTTAGGCAGTAAACTTGCAATAAACTGTTATTGAAAGCTTGAAAGTATATAAAGAACTGTATAAACAAAAAGAAAAATATTATTGTCATTAATAAGTATGATTGGCTCTAAATAGTGTTATCTCAGGTGGTACACAATAAATGTCTGAAAATGATGGTTAAATACTGGTGTGTAGTATAGATTCTTAAAGTATGAAGCAACGAATTAATCCAGTGTGTTCCAGCACACTTTTATCATTCTGTGTTTATTCTCTTAAGAAATGATAAAGCTCACTTGGCTAATATTTTTTAGATTTTTGTTAGCCATATTCCTTTCGAAAGTTATATAATTACTTCTACAGATGACTTTTCACTAATAATTCTTTAATGTGTTTTTGTCTAACTTCTTCTTGGACTATATTTTTTTCTACGTAGTGTGTTTAAGGATGATATCTGAAATATCTTGGCTCTCGTATTTTATGTTTCCACTCATTCTTTCATAATACATGAGCCCGATTATATTATTTTACATTCAGTCTTAATACCTGTTATGTTGATACATTTAAAAATCTGATTTAAAACTTCTCAGATTTTATATAGTTCTTAATCTGTTTTATAATTTTGGAAAAATTATTCATTATGTTGAAGTACTTAATTTAGATATATATTGTCATGGAAAAATGTATTTAAGGGATAGTTGTATGTGTTTTTTACTTTTGGTCTTTTAGTTCCAGCGTGTTGTCCTTTTTGGTTTTGTTTTATTGCTTTTTTCTTTAATTTTGCTTACCAGAGCCAAAGCCTTAGTAGAAGAACAACGCCTTTTGTTCCTAGGGTTCAGGTAAAGGCCTTGTCTGCCTGATAGAATCTAAAATTGTGTTTTAACCCTTATTTGTATGTTTTTGGAAAATGCGTAGTAGGAAAACTTAATTTGGTATGTTGCTCCAAACCATATTATTGACTTCCAAATCATTTTATGAGCCAGCTTGTAAAATTCTGCATGGGGATTAAAATAAAGTAAAAATTTAAAGAGACAATCTTTGTTAGTAATTTTATATGATGGACTGAATACTAAAACTCATGTTTCAGGTTGGCATTTAATGTAGATTCCACTTATATCTGTAATATTGACATAAATAGCTGATTTTATACTGTTGATATTTTTACTACACTAAGGTTACTGTCTCTTTAAATCATTCATTATATCACTTAACATCTACATTCTCTTGCATTTTCCAAGCAATTACTCCTTGAGGAGACTGGCAAATAAATTTGTACCTTATCTAAAATACGAATTTTCTGAATATTATATATAGAGTTCAACTTTTGAAAACTATATGACTTTGATAGAACAAAATCACAATCCACATAAAGTGTCTTGGGTTTATTTTGTTTGCATTATGTAATTATAATTCCATTTATTTTACTGCACTACTTGGGTACAAGTTCTTTGCCTCTTTTCATTAGGAAACCCTTATACGGAAAAGTAATGTCAATATAGTGTTTTTTAAAAAGTAGTATTATGCTTTTCTTGCTTTGCTGCATGGGTTTTTTTAGTTTTTTTTTTTGTTGTTGGTTTTCAATAATGCTAATTTAATTTAAATTAAAAAAAACTGAAGTTGTTCTAGTTAACACTATCTAGTGTAAAATATTTACTTAGATTGCTTAGATTCTGCTTGGGAAACTTAAAAGTGGCACATGAAAAGTGTATTAAAGCAAGTAAAATGATATCAATATTTTTATTAATGAAAATGATGTAAGTATATCATATTTAGAACTGTGGAAGTATATTTGTCTTATTTTTAGGAATCAGCAGATATATTCCAATGATTCATTTAAAAAGCACAATTAAGAATGTGACTAATAATCTAGCAAATAAAATAATTTTGTTTTGATACTGTGAGCTAAATATCTATTAAAAACTTCAAAGCAAGTCCCATATCCCATAATATAAAATGAAAATTAGGGCTATTGATCAAACGCCCAGTTTGACAGTTTGTTAAAACATATAATTTTCATCAAAAAATCAGTACAAAGTATGCCTATTTCATGTCTATATTATTTTAATATTTACATATCTGTAAAGTATAATTTAATAAACTATAAAGTATTAATGTGAAAATATGAAAGCTAGTACCTAATATCTGTTTGTGTGGAATGAATATTATTAATAAATGATATTTTTTATTAATGGAAATTTTATTTCCATTAAAAATAGTACTATTTATCAGGCATTTGAAATATATATCTTAAGATTTAGCTGTAATGATTTTAAAAGAGCAAAAATACTGCCTGTGGAGATGACAACAAAGGATTAGTCTCAATCCCTAAAAAAATACAGAAATCAGCAATTTGCTCCAATAAACAATTATGAATTTAGTCTAATACTTATTATTTTCCTTTGTTATTTAAATGCACTATTTATTGGAAAATAATTATGTAGTCTTTCAGAAGTTTTTTCTTTTTTGAAGTGTCTAATATTGATGTCATGATGCTCCGAGAAGGATTTTTAACCTCATGGAAAATAAAGCCATAGCTCTTATTGCTATAGAAAATAAAGAATATAGAAAGTAGTGTGATTTGGTCACAAACTTAGAGGAACTTCAAATCTTTCTGACATCTGTTTCATCTCATGTATGAAACACTCTTGTATTTCTTACTTTTTTCTTCCCGCTCATATCTTTTGCCTGAAAGTCTCTTTTTTTCCATCTCTTCTCATCTATATCTTTGTTTTAATATTGTCGGGCAAGAAATACTTGAACTTTTTTCTTTTTTTAATAGTAATTTCTAAAAATTTTATATTGGAGTATAGTTTATAATGTTGCAGTTAGTTTCAGGTGCTGAACTTTTTTTTTTTTTCCACTTAAATATCAGATGCTTTTTTTCCAGGTTGTTGCTTCTCTAGTCTAAGGCAGTGGTTCTCAAGCTTTAATGGAAATGAGAATCACCTGAGGATTTGTTAAAATGCAAATTTTCTGGGCCCTTTCTGGTTCTGTAGCTGAAAGGTGGGCCACGGGAATTTGTAACTTTTGAACAGATGAGTCAGATAATACTGTTGCAGGAGTTTTATGAAGCACAGTTTGAAAACCACTTGACTAGGGTCTGTACTTAGCATGTAAGTTCAAAAAAGTTTTTGTTATAGAGCCTCAAGATAATACCTGCATTAAACATAAGGACTTAATATAAAGAGTAGTGCTATCATTTGTAAAATTTAAACATTTCTAATAATTACTCTTATAAGAGGGTTAATTTCATTTAACCAAAAAAAAAGTATAAATAATTTTATATACTTTTCTGGGCCATTAGTCTTCTGACTCAAAATTCTTGCTTGGCCTCTCATCCTCTTAGGATATGAAGTGAGGGACTCAACAACACCATGTTAGAATTGGAACTGAACTACTAACATATCATATATATATTTATCTTTATATTTTTTTATGTGGATGGTCTATATATATATAGCCTAGAGCTTGGCCCAGCATTGACTGTCTGCTTTGGAGCGGAGAGGAAGGGACTGACATGAGATATATATTTAAGTCTTCCAAGCTAATGGAAACATTGCGCATCCAAATTAAAAGAAAAAAATCAAACAATTGAAAACAAAATATGCATATTATGTAAACAAAACTTTTCCCCAAGCTCCAAATTTCCAATTCAATTTCATTTTGAAAATAGTGGCCAGGGATGTGCTGAATTCTGAATCAAATGTAAATCAGAATCATAGTCATCATAACTAGGTGTGGGAGTGTGAGATGTGTGTGGGAGGCGACAGTTGTTAAGTCTAATGAATTCAACAACTGGATGTGAAGATCTAATCCTTAATTATGACACAGGCAAATTATTCTAATTTTCCTATCTTGAATTATAAAATATACCCTTTTATTCTAAGGATGAATACATTTGCTTCACAAATGAAAAAGAGACTATGTATAAAAAACTTATAAGATGAATTTATTATAGTTTTAAATACAAATTTAAGCAGTCTGTTTACTAAATCTTCTAGTAATTCCCAGTTACTTATAATCTTTGAAAGATCTTTGCTGTGATATAACATAAAACATTTGCTGAAAATATTCCCATGAATGCCATATGAGCAACTTATCTGTTCAGTTCATTTTGAGCACTTATTCTGAACTCAGTATTGTAGGGAAACCAAAATGAACTACAGAGACTCCTGCATAAATGTAGACACAGAACAATCCTATATAAAGTCCTTATTATGGCAGTGTAATTATTATGTGCATGTTAATAAGCTATCAAATTAGATTATAAAAATTTCAAGAAATTTGTCAAACTAAAATATCTGAATTAAATTCTCCATTCATTGAAGTTATTATAGCATATCCTTTTAAGTTAACTGCAATTTACTAAGTGAAGTTTATATTCTGTGCTAATATCAGGATAAGAGAATGGGGCAAAGATTGGGAATGTAAACATTCAGTTATATTAGTAAATGGTTAAGCTGATAAATAAATATTTTTGCTTTTCAGATAAAACTGTGGTTTGACAAGGTTGGTCACCAATTAATAGTTACAATTTTGGGAGCAAAGGACCTCCCTTCCAGGGAAGATGGGAGGCCAAGGAATCCTTATGTTAAAATTTACTTTCTTCCAGACAGAAGGTAAGCATATGAAACAAAAGTAAATATTCTTGAAGACAGATGAGAAATGTTAATAGCAGGGAGTGTTTTGATTTTGTGTCATTTATTTTTAAATATCATACCAGTTAGATACTTATAAAGTTTAACATAGGCATAATGATTCCTAGGAATCAAAATAGTGACAGTAAATGCTTTGATATTGTTTTAAAACCCATTTCAAATGTTCATAGTATAGATGATTTTATTCTATATCGATTTTATATTGTGTGGATTGCTTCTTAAATAAAGTATGTTTTTATTTATAAAGCTCATTAAAATTGTGCACCTTTAAATCAAATACATTTTAAACATAAACTACAGAGACAAAAAGCTGGATGGTACTAAAAGATATTCATCATGTTCCTCTACAATTTCTACTTTCTCTTACTAATTATTACTTCTCTACATTCTGTAAAATTAATGAACATGCTTTATATTTAATTACCCATATCATCAAGAAATCTCTACCACTGGGCCAAGAGTTAGCTTCCTAAAGTGTCATTTACTTTGTGTCCATGCTGATCAGTATGCATGTTATTAATCTACCCTGATTTAAATAGAGAAATCAGGATAGGAGAAATAACTTATCAAAAATCATCTAATCATTCTCAATTTCAAACACATACAAAGTGAAAGAAATTATTCAATAAACATCATGAAAGAGGAAAAAAGTAGGCACTAATTTCCCTTCCCTAGCTCTTCTGCATCGCTGGTTTCTAGGGTTGGTCTGGTCGTTTTTCTCAGGATGTAAGTAGTGGGGTACAGATGTGATTTTAAACATACTTGTATACTTCTGCACACTCTCTTATTTGGTTTAAGTTAAAGTCATCACTATTGAATGCCACAGTATCATCTGAAGAACACTTAACAAAGACAATAACAAGTAAGCAGTTAACAAAGGCCTTACACTTTGATACATATTTTGGAAAAAAATTAGTTAAACAAATTATTCAGAAAATATGTGAGGTTGCCACAGCCTCCTAAACTACTAGAAACTGTCAGCTGTATGATTTTATCTTATGAAGTTTACTTAGAGAAGACTGTTCTCTAACAACTTAGATTGTCTTTTGGGGAGGGATACACTTTGAACTGCAAGGGAAGATGAGGATATGCAATAACTAAAAGGGTAAATCCAACTTAAAACTTCAGTTGGATGACAGATGTCACAGCCATATTATCTACCATCTTAGGGGGAGGACAAGTCACTTGCTTCTCAGAGTGCAGTGAGTTTACTAGTTTAAGCATCCTTAGATTGCCATCATAAAAACTTGCAGAAAATCGTACATTCCCACATACGCTTTTATGCAAGTACATAATGAGTCATAGCTCAGTTGGTAAAGAATCTGCCTGCAATGCAGGAGACTGCGGTTCGATTCCTAGGTCGGGAAGATCCACTGGAGAAGGGATAGGCTACCCACTTCAGTATTCTTGGGCTTCCCTTGTGGCTCATCTGGTAAAGAATCTGCCCGCAATGCGGGAGACCTGGGTTTGATCCTTGGGTCGGGAAGATCCCCTGGAGAAGGGAAAGGCCACACACTCCATATTCTGGCCTGGAGAATTCCATGGACATAGTCCGTGAGGTCGCAAGAGTCTTAAGTTTCTATTTATTCAGAGCTCTGAAGAAAAATGCTTATTTTTGAAGATAGTAAAAGTCTCTCAGATTATTTGTCTTTTGGTTGACTTTTTAGTTTTAGTTTATTTTTCATGCCTCTTCCAACTTTCTGAGCAGACAGAGCTCAGATGGATGAGAAAGTCCCTTTAAAGACTCCTCTGTATTCCCCAATATAGAATTTTTATCTTTTCTCAACAGCAAAAAATTGAGAAAGTTTTGAAATTTTTTTTCTCAGATTATCTCTCAGCTGAGTTTTCTTGTCAGTTATCAGGAATTTGAAGAATATTTAGGCAAGTTTGTTGCTGACTTTATTAATAGTTGTGTCAGGATTTCATCTGTAGTAGAAAACAGAATTCTCTGGTTAATTCATATAGCTACTTTATCACCTCAGCCTTTTTTATTCTGTTGACATAAGTTTTTACACATGAATAAAGGACTGTGCTTTTAGTTTGAATTATTTGTTTTTTGGAAGAAAAGCCACAGGTCATAGGAAGCAGTATAAACCATTCTTGGATTAGATGGCAAGGTTCCATCTAAATATTTTCTTTCTGATGTTGGTGGAAGGAATTTTTATCTCTGACAGGGTGTCATATTTCATTCTTTTATGGATAGAACATAAGTAGATGCTTTATAAATATTTGTTAAAGTTTCAGAAGGAGGAAGTGACGGTCATAAATCATAGTCCTTGTCATTATTTCTCTATTATTTAGTTGTTCTAATTTACAGTGACACTTCTTTTTCATAAATTTGAATGGAGATAAGATTTCGTACATGGGTTTCCAAAGTTATTTTCCTAGGGAAAGCATAGCAATTAATAAAGACACATTGCTTTTAAATGGCCACATTAAATACATGCTTTTGATACATTAAGTCAAGTATCTTGCATCTCCTGCATTGGCAGGAGGATTCTTTGCCACTCACACCCTGGGAAGCCCTTGTGTTAAACAGTAAACTCTGCTTTCACCTAGGAGAAGTCACATAGACTCCCTCATTTAGAGGCACTCTATCCCTTCTTAGTTCAGACTGCTTCCTGTTTCCCAATACTCTTAGAACTGTGCTGTGCTAAGAGAATTTGAGGAAGTTAATACAGTTCCACTTTCTGTTCATTGGCACTTTTCACTTCAAATAGCCTCTTCTGATAGCTTAACATTGCCTTCCTTGATGATTTTCTTTGTTCCTATTCAGCCATTGATCCTCTCTAATAAGCTAGAGTAGTGATCTCCAAAACAAATGGATGTATCCAGGGAATGTAGAAACAATTCACTGGAGTTCAGAAAGACATATGTGTATTTTTATTTTCATCTATTTTTGATTACTATTTTTGTATATTTACCAATGAATGCAATATATTAGTATATCAGTATAGTAATACATGCATATAATTTATAAATATATGTGTATATAATTGAATGCATAATCAAAAACATACATTTAATAGAAATATACAGCAGAAAAAAATATGGAAGCCTCTGAACTGGAAGTTCTGTCCATCAGGATGGCCAACTTGCATTTCCAGCCCAGACTATAGCAGCTACCTCACAGAGAAATAATTTTACTATGTTTATAAAGACCTATAAATGTCAACAGAAAACTAGTCAATCTGATCACATGGACCACAGTCTTGTCTAACTCAATGAAACTAAGCCATGCTGTGTGGGACCACCCAAGATGGATGGGTCATGGTGGAGAGGTCTGACAGAATGTGGTCCACTGGAGAAGGGAATGGCAAACCACTTCAGTATTCTTGCCTTGAGAACCCCATGAACAGTATGAAAAGGCAAAATGATAGGATACTGAAAGAGGGACTCCCCAGGTTGGTAGGTGCCCAGTATGCTACTAGAGATCAGTGGAGAAATAACTCCAGAAAGAATGAAGGGATGGAGCCAAAGCAAAAACAATACCCAGTTGTGGATGTGACTGGTGGTAGAAGCACGGTCCGATGCTGTAAAGAGCAATATTGCATAGGAACCTGGAATGTTAGGTCTATGAATCAAGGCAAATTGGAAGTGGTCATACAGAAGATGGCAAGAGTGAATGCCGACATTCTAGGAATCAGTGAACTAAAATGGACTGGAATGGGTGAATTTGACTCAGATGACCATTATATCTACTACTGTGGGCAGGAATCCATTAAAAGAAATGGAGTAGCCATCATAGTCAACAAAAGAGTCCAAAATGCAGTACTTGGATGCAATCTCAAAAATGACAGAATGATCTCTGTTCGTTTCCAAGGCAAACCGTTCAATATCATGGTAATCCAAGTCTATTCCCCGAATAGTCTATTCTAACGCTGAAGAAGCTGAAGTTGAATTATTCTATGAAGACCTACAAGACCTTTTAGAACTAACACCCAAAAAAGATATCCTTTTCACTATAGGGAATTGGAATGCAAAAGTAGGAAGTCAAGAAACACCTGGAGTAACAGGCAAATTTGCCTTGGAGTACGGAATGAAGCAGGGCAAAGGCTAGTAGAGTTATGCCAAGAGAACGCACTGCTCATAGCAAACACCCTTTTCCTAAAACACAAGAGAAGACTCTACATACGGACATCACCAGATGGTCAACACTGAAATCAGATTGATTTTATTCTTTGCCGCCAAAGATGGAGAAGCTCTATACAGTCAGCAAAAACAAGACTGGGAGCTGACTGTGGCTCAGATCATGAACTCCTTGTTGCCAAATTCAGACTTAAATTGAAGAAAGTAGGGCATTCAGGTATGATCTAAATCAAATCCCTTATGACTATACAGTGGAAGTGAGAAATAGATTTAAGGGACTAGGTCTGATAGACAGAGTGCCTAATGAACTAGGTTCATGACATTGTACAGGAGGCAGGGATCAAGACCATCCCCATGGAAAAGAAATGCAAAAAGGCAAAATGGTTGTCTGAGGAGGGCTTACAAAAAGCTGTGAAAAGAAGAGAAGCAAAAAGCAAAGGAGAAAAGGAAAGATATACCCATTTGAATGCAGAGATCCAAAGAATAGCAAGGAGAGATAAGAAAGCCTTCCTCAGCGATCAATGCAAAGAAATAGAGGAAAACAACAGAATGGGAAAGACTAGCAATCTCTTCAAGAAAATTAGAGATACCAAGGGAACATTTCATGCAAAGATGGGTTTGATAAAGGACAGAAATGGTATGGATCTAACAGAAGCAGAAGATATTAAGAAAAGGTGGCAAGAATACACAGAAGAACTGTACAAAAAAGATTTTCATGACCCAGATAATCACGATGATGTGACCACTCACCTAGAGCCAGACATCCTGGAATGTGACATCAAGAGGGCCTTAGGAAGCATCACTACTCAGAAAGCTAGTGGAGGTGATGGAATTCCAGTTGAGCTATTTCAAATCCTAAAAGATGATGCTGTGAAAGTGCTGCACTCAATATGCCAGCAAATTTGGAAAACTCAGCAATGGCTACAGGACTGGAAAAGGTCAGTATTCATTCCAGTCCCAAAGAAAGGCAATGCCAAAGAATGCTCAAACTAGAGCACAATTGCACTCATCTCACATTCTTGTAAAGTAATGCTCAAAATTCTCCAAGCCAGGCTTCAGCAATACGTGAACTGTGAACTTCCGGATGTTCAAGCTGGATTTAGAAAAGGCAGAGGAACCAGAGATCAAATTGCCAACATCCGCTGGATCAACGAAAAAGCAAGAGAAGTCCAGAAAAAAATCTATTTCTGCTTTATTGACTATGCCAAAGCCTTTGACTGTATGGATCACAATAAACTGTGGAAAATTCTGGAAGAAATGGGAATACCAGACCACTTGACCTGCCTCCTGAGAAACCTATATGCAGGTCAGGAAGCAACAGTTAGAACTGGACATGGATCAACAGACTGGTTCCAAATAGGAAAAGGAGTACATCAAGGCTGTATATTGTCACCCTGCTTATTTAACTTATATGCAGAGTACATCATGAGAAACGCTGGGCTGAAAGAAGCACAAGCTGGAATCAAGATTGCTGGGAGAAATATCAATAACCTCAGATATGCAGATGATACCACTTTTATGGCTAAAGTGAAGAGGAACTAAAAAGCCTCTTGATGAAAGAGAAAGAGGAGAGTGAAAAAGTTGGCTTAAAACTCAACATTCAGAAAACTAAGATCATGGCATCTGGTCCCATCACTTCATGGGAAATAGATGGGGAAACCGTAGAAACAGTGTCAGACTTTATTTTTTTGGGTTCCAACATCACTGCAAATGGTGATTGCAGCCATGAAATTAAAAGACACTTACTCCTTGGAAGGAAAGTTATGACCAACGTAGATAGCATATAAAAAAGCAGAGACATTGCTTTGCCAACAAAGGTCCGTCTGGTCAAGGCTATGGTTTTTCTGGTGGTCATGTATGGATGTGAGAGTTGGACTGTGAAGAAAGCTGAGTGCTGAAGAATTGATGCTTTTGAACTGTGGTGTTGGAGAAGACTCTTGAGAGTCCCTTGGACTGCAAGGAGATCCAACCAGTCCATCCTAAAGGAGATCAGCCCTGGGCGTTCTTTGGAAGGACTGATGCTGAAGCTGAAACTCCAGTACTTTGGCCACCTCATGTGAAGAGTTGACTCATTGGAAAAGACCCTGATTCTGGGAGGGATTGGGGACAGGAAGAGAAGGGGACGCCAGAGGATGAGATGGCTGGATGGCATCACCGACTCGATATACATGAGTTTGAGTAAACTCCGGGAGTTGATGATGGACAGGGAGGCCTGGCGTGCTGTGATTCATGGGATCGCAAAGAGTTGGACACGACTGAGCGACTGAGCTGAACTGATAAATGTCAAATGAGCAAGTGTGTATGTATAAGAAAATAAATTGCTCATTAGCTTAACTGCATGGAAGTAAAGATTTGAGGATAGCAATCAGACATATTGTAGAAAGAATTTCTGTAGTTTATGTGACTAGTATATTGGTTGCAAATACCATGCATAGAATTTGCATATGTACGAATACTCAAAGTAATAGTGTATGTAGCCAATAAGTTGATTTCCATTTTAAAGGTTTCCAGTAGGGCACTGTGTTAAAAAGAAAATGAGAGTTAAAGATTCTTTAGTCTGGTTTTATTTAGAATTTGTGAAAGACTGTTCTTAATTATCTATCATGGAAAATTTTCATATTTATTATAATATTCTGTTATTCAATCAAAGTTACATAATGATGTGCCTTATACATTTCAATAGTAATTTTGAAGCTTACAACATTTTTAATGTATGACAAATTTATGGGAAAACTTCACTTGTGTCCTGTGAAATTTTAAATTTATGCATTTTAGTGCAAAAGTTAAAATGAAGGTTTATATCAATTCATATATTCTTATTTTCTTGATAGTGACAAAAACAAGAGAAGAACTAAAACAGTGAAGAAAACTTTGGAACCCAAATGGAACCAAACATTTATTTATTCTCCAGTCCACCGAAGAGAATTTCGGGAACGAATGCTGGAGATTACCCTTTGGGATCAAGCTCGAGTTCGAGAGGAAGAAAGTGAATTCTTAGGAGAGGTATCTGGAACTATTTTAAAGCTTAGAATATTCATGTTATCCCAAATACTTTTGTTTATATGACTATCAGTAATATATTTTGAATACCTGAGAAAGTAAACATAATTTAACAGAATGAATTTAGTTGCTGTTTTAAGAAAATAACTTATTGATGGTTTTATATTATGTGTATATCCTTTTAGTTTACTAAACCAGTTGTACCGCTAGTAATTCAATCATTTATCCATGGATCATTTTTTCAGCCCTGTACTGTATCTGTAATGTGCTATGCACTGAGGTTTCAAAGGTAGACAAGGTATATTCCTCTCTTTAAAGAATTTATAATTCACTGAAATACATATAAGTGAATGAACAATTATAACATAGCATGACAGATGTTCTATGGGAAAGTGCAGTAGGAATACAAAATTGCTTTGCAGGGAAGGGGAAATAAGTGGTCCAGGGAAGGGAGTAAAGTTACTGCAGAGGGAATACGAGATAGTATAGTTACGGGGGTCTTGGACAACTGCATTGAAATTTGAAAGGAACCTGGTAAGAAATGAGACTTGAAAGTTAAACTGACGTCTGATTGTATCCTTTCATACGTCATATTAAGAAGCTGGATTTTATCCTGTAGATAATGGGAACAAATGACAGGTTGGAAAGAGCATGACTTGATTTCATTTATACTTGAGGAAATATTTCTATCTGAAAGGTAGAGGATGAATTGGAGGGAACAGATGAGAGACAGTTCTCCCACCATTAACGTACTAAGATAACTGTTTTCAGCTTTTTTCAGTGTGGTTGATTTTCCTGAGTGAACTAAATGGTAATATCATGGGTAAAACAACAATCCATAGAAATATTGAACTGAATGTTGTTAGCTAAGGAATCGAAGAGTTGGAAAGAAGGGGAACGTAATTGCTAAAATCAGAGACTAGCTTCTGCTGCCTGATCATGCTTTCCTGACACTGCTACTTCCTGACTTTGGTGCTTGAGCAAGTTATTTAATATATTTGTGCTTTAGTTTTCTCTTCAGTAGAGTGAGAAGGGCTAGAGTGAGGATTAAATGTGTGTGTGTATGTGTGTGTAACCATTTAAAACACCCTATAATTTTGTAAATGACTAGGGACAATTTAGGAAGAATGAAGAGTACCTTAGTTGTTTTACTTTTTTACCTCCCATAGCTATATAGTGACTTATCACTATATAACAGTTCTCATATCCTTAAACACAGACCTTGTCATATTTGCATGACTTTGAAAGATAACAAAAAGAATCATTTATTCCTATGGACTGATTTCCTTTTCAAATTTATTATATATTCATGTTATAATATGTGATGATGTGATGTGTTTGTGTGCTCCCCGTCGTGTCTAACTCTTTGCAACTCCATGGACTGTAGCCTGCCAGGCTCCTCTGTCCATGGAATTTTCCAGGCAAGAATTCTGGAGTGGGTGCCATTTCCTATTCCAAGGGAATCTTCCCAACCAAGGGATTGAACCCATGTCTCATGCATCTCCTGCATTGCAGAGAGATTCTTTACTGCTGAGCCACTTAAAAATCCATTCGTTTTTTCTTTCCTGTTTTGAATCCTTAGTATCATGATACATTAAACCGAGTTTTTAGTAAGACAGTCTTTGATTTATATTGCATCTCTTTCACTTACCAGCAATGGAGCCTTAAACAAGTTTTTAAATCTTTTCAACCTTGGTATGCTTATCTGTAAAAAGTTGACTAATAAGACCAACCTAGTAGTTTTTACCCAAGAATTAAGATAACGTATGACATGGTTCTTAACACACAGTAAGCATTTCTAATTTGTTTTTATATCCCCATTTCAGAATTTGTAAAGGTTAAGCTAATGAATGTAAGTGAAATGCTTTTTAAACCATAAAACAGTATACATATATTAGTTTTAATTACCGACATTTAGTAACAGGTTCTCTTTCAGTTCAGTTCATTGGTTCAATCGTGTCCTACTCTTTGTGACCCCATGGACTACAGCATGTCAGGCCTCCCTGTCTATCACCAACTCCCGGAGTTTACCCAAACTCATGTCTATTGAGTCGGTGATGCCATCCAAATACTTCATCAGTGTCATATTTAGCAGCCTCTAGTAGAGGATCTGCTACAGCCTCCAGTAGTTCAAAGATCTGCAAAGTAAATGTCTTAGGTATAGAAAGCTATTAAATCAATAAGAAGTTATAAATATTTATCTATTTAACTAGTGGCAAGCATATGGGCAATTCTGCTGCATAACCTTGCTTTTGACCTAACAACATTACTATTATAATAAAACCATTTAAGAGAATTTCCATATTATTGTCATATGACAATTCTTTGTCTCTTGGCTTTGTAGATTTTAATTGAATTAGAAACAGCATTATTAGATGATGAGCCACATTGGTACAAACTTCAGACTCATGATGTTTCCTCATTGCCACTTCCCCATCCTTCGCCGTATATGCCACGACGACAACTCCATGGAGAGAGCCCAACACGGAGGTTGCAAAGTAAGTTTTCAGTAAAATTTTTCATAAATTTATTGAAATATCTTGAATGATATATGTGGCACAGAATTTAAGGATACCATTATGGGTATTAACAGGTATCTATTAGTATTTTTATAGCTATTCTTAAAGCTTTTAAATTTATACACTTACCTGAATGCATGTTGTGTTCACTTATCACAGTATGACATACTGTGCTTCACTGTGTTAAAACTTCACAATGTTTTAACTTTACCTCTTAGAATCTAAAATATAGGAATGAAATAGTTAATGTAGTAGAATTTGGTCATGTAGCTGTAGACATCTGAAATTATGATTTCTTCCTTCATTAAGCCAAATATTTTATGAATATATAGGATAAAAGTATAGCATAGTGGTTGAAATCATGTCTGTGAACATTACTCATAAACTTTAAGTTTTAATTCTCTCATTTAACAGTTGTGTGACTTGAGGTATGTCATCTCTGTCTGTTTCACTTTCTTCATTTAGAAAATGGCTATAATATGTCACAGGACAGTTCTAAAAGTTAATGTCAGAAGTATAAACTGATACTATTGTTGTTATCAGTGTTGGCATTTTATGCTGAATTATGCACAGTCCAAACTATAAAATAGGTTATTCAGAGAATCTTAAAGGAGACTCAGAAATATTTTCCACATTGAAAATGGAAAATGGTGTTGTTGGTTTATTAATCTTGAAGCTCAAGTTTGTTTTTTTCTGATGAATCTTTGTGATAGGTATTTTTGTGATAGGTATTTTTGCTCTGGATAGTATCCATGGAGCCATCATGTTTCAGGTTTAGCAGCTTTTTTGTCAAATAATGGAGAACTGATTGAGATTAACTAAATTTCAGAAGTACAAATTTATAAGCATAAATTCTGTGTCATCATGACATCAATCATGGTAAAGATACTTGACCATGTAACAAATAACTCTTATATAAATGGATCACAGCCTTTCTGATGAATAGAGGGCTAAATTACATATCAGAAGGTTGTTTGTTGAATAGAGAATTAGAGCAAAGCATTGACTTTGTGGAATAATTAGTCATAGGAAAGCATAGAGATTTGTATTAATTTCTTTTTAAAATAATCTAATTACTGGAATTTTATTTCCATTAGAAACAACCTCTTACCCTTGGAGGGGATTAATTTAACACTAATTTTATAGCACTTACTTTTTTCTGTTCCCCCCAGAGTGAACACCCACACACCTTTATCTGCAGTTGCCATCACAACATTGTTTGTTGTAACTACATTATCATGAAGTTTATGTTGACTAAATTTAGACTGTCTGCTCTTTCTGACCCTGTAAACTACTCAGTACATTGTCTCTAAATCACAATGTAGGACGGTGAGTTAATTTATGAAGGTTCCTAGTATAATTCATTTTCTACTAATTCCTGTAGATTAGGTTTATAGGCTATTAATGCTAGCTACTATTGCCCTTTCTTGCAGCACTGGCCTCTTCTCTATTTACTTTAGTTGTTATTGCAGTAAAGAGTAGGTTTGATGACTCTTAGTATCTGAAACTCTTAAATCTACAAATAATTTTCATTTTTTCCCTCCCTAGCTAAGAATAGTGTATGTAAGGTGTGATGAGAATAGAGGACTTTCTAGTTATCTATATAAGTCATGGATATTCTTGAAATTAATTTAATCAATTTTGCAGATATTAATATTTTCCATGCTTATAATAGCTCCTCTATTAAGTAATCATTAATATTAAATAAACCTCTGGGTGAAATAATAACTCCATGTTGTACTGTATGAGTCTTGCCACTATCAATTAACTTCTAATAAAGTTAATTTTCAGTATTTGAATGTATGACTGAATTTGGTGTTTTACATTAAAATTTTATTATAATTTATTCACAATGTTTAGGCATAAAGATAGGTAAATGATACGATTAAGGAAGATTAGGAGATAGCATTCAGGGGTAGTCAGAAAGTTAAAGATATTACCACTGGCTAAGTGTAGCTCATCAATGACAGGTTCAAGTTAGGGTATTAGTAAGTAAGTGTATTAATTATTTTAAGGTTTTACTGATGAAAAGAACCTCCTTTAGGTTTTTTTCTCTGAGGAAAGGTTTATATGGAATTTATTTTCAAGTATGTTTAAATTGTCAAAGATCATATCATTAACTTATTTGAGGGAACATACATGTTTGAATGGGCTTCCCAGGTGGCTCAACGGATAAAGAATCTGCCTGTAATGCAGGAGACACAGGAGATATAGGTTCGATTCTTGGGTTGGGAAGATGCTGTGGAGGAGGGCATGGCAACTTGCTCCCGTATTCTTGCCTGGAGAATCATGGACAGAGGAGTCTGGCAGGCTATAGTCCATAGGGTCACATGGACTCCGACACAGCCGAAGTGACTGAGCATGCATGCACACGTGTGTGAACAATTAGCCATCAAAAATGTATAATAAGCCCTTATTTATTCCCTACATCCACATAGTAAAAGTTTTGGTAATTCAATCTCTGAAGCTTATGAATAGTATTCTGAAGCTATGAATTTATTAAATGTACCTGGACATTTTTTGTTAATTAAAGTGAATAAATGGTAATGTTGGGATTCTGTTCTTTCCTCTGATGATTTTCTATTTTAAATTTGTAGATTCAGATTATTCAATGCAGTATTTCATTAAGAAGATATTAGTAATAAATCATTTAATAATATATTTTAAAATATCTGAAAGCTCTTCTAAAAATAATTTTTTCATGCATTTGTAGTTAGTTTAAATATTCTGAAAAAGTATTTTTGAGATGCAGTCCAGACAGCTTTGATTGTAAGCTTTAAGTGTTTTTACAAATGATTGGTGAAAGTATTTGAAGTAGATGACCTTTTATAGCAGTATCCCTGCATGTTGCAAAATAAGAATATTGTGTTTTAGAAAATTTATAGCAATAGTTCCATGCTCATTGTTCAAAAGTCTAATGAAATTAGGCTGTGAGGAGTCAAAACTTTAATGATGAGGAATTAACATTTCTTACAACGCTTTTTCTTCAGCCTACTGTTGCCCACTCCCTTCACAGACATTCTTGTTTTGATAACACCAAAGAATGGGGAAAAGAGCAGTACATATTTCAAAGAGTGATTAATTAAGCATCTTTAAAAATGTGTCAGCAAGACTGAAGCCATGAGTTCAAATAATTAAAATGCATCAATAGAGAAATGAGGTTGGCAAAATAGCTCACATATTCACATCATTTTATTTTTGATCCATTGATGAGAAACTATTCATAACTTTCTTGAAACATAAAGAGATTGTTTTGGAAAATGTATTTTGATATTTACATTTTATTGTTATATTCTTTACTCTTATTTAAAGTTGTATAGTGTCTTAAGGCAAAAATCTTCCTTTACATATTTATTTCTTGAGATATCTTATTACACAATTTGAACCATAAAGATCCAATCAGAGTTTTCTTTAATTTGATACTTCATTCTTATTTTTCTCTCATAATAACCAGATTCTTCTCTTTGATGTCTCAAATGTTAAACCTCTTTCACTCTTTAAAAAAGAAAACACTGTATCTACTATACTTTTATTCACCTTCATGACCACAAGTCTTCATGGAAAAGTGAATGCAAACAAATCATAGAGCTCCAGCTGAAATGATACTGTTGAAAGGTATAAGATAAAAGAGACATGACTTTATAATGAAAGTTTTTCAAGATTTAAACTATTTTGGGGGCATTGGGGTGAATATTTCTTTCAGTTCTCTATCCAGTTGCCTCCCTGCTCTCCTTTTTGGATGAGAATTACATATGTAGAGATCTTTGACATTTTTTCACAGGTTACTGAATCTATGTTGTTTTATAATTTTTTTCCTCTCTTCCTCAGTTTTAATTATTTTTATTTGTCTTCAAGTTGACTGATATTTTGTTCTACAGTGTTCAATTTTCCAGAAAAAAATTCTGTGAATTATCTTATTAAATACATTATGTTTTTCATTTTAAGTTTTATATTTGATTTTCTTAGAAGTTACTATATCTTTCCTGTTCCCCTTGTTTTATTATGTGTGTGCGTATATATACAAACAGATGTGTATAGGTAGATGTGTGCATGCTTAGTCTCTTAAGTCATATCAGACTCTTTGCAGCCCCTTGGACTGTAGCCCACCAGGCTCCTCTGTCCATGGGATTTCCCAGGCAAGGATACTGGAGCAGGTTGCCCTTTCCTTCTCCAGGGGATCTTCCCCACCCAGAGATGGAACCTGCATCTCCTGCATTGGCAGGTGGATTCTTTACCACTGAGCCACCTGTGAAGCTGATGTATAGGTGTATGTAGATATATTAAAGAATTTATAGGATTATTTTATATATACACATATGTGGGTATAAATATACATGTGATATATATATAATATATAATATAATTTATATCTATTTGTATAATACTATAAATTCTTTAATATATCTATAGTTTTTATTTTAAAGTATACTAATTCCAGCATCTTAGTCTTCTGTTGGCTTATTAATATTTTTCTTTCTTTCTCTGCCTAGGGATCACACTCTGTATTGTTTTATGTATCTACTAATGTTTTGTGTACTGGACATTGTGCTTAATATATTTTAGAGACTGAATTTTGAAGAATATTGTGTTTTATTTTAGCAGACAGTGAAATTACTGAAGAATTGCTTAAAATCTATGGAAGATGTGTTTCATTTTTATTTTTGTTCTATTTTGATCCTTTGCATAGTTCTAAGTCTAATTTGTGGTTCTCATGTCTAAGTTTTGAACTCTAGACAGAGTTCAAGATTTTGGACAAAACCTATAGTTAATAGGATTTAAACTCCAAACTCTGTATCCTATACATCAGGAAGTTGCTGAAATCTTGCAGACCATTTAGCCTTTCAACTGTGGCTTTCTGCTGGGTTTCTTTTTGTTTTTGTCTCTGCAGTTTATAATTTTAGGCAAGAATTTTGGGGACCATTAAGTGTAAGTTTTTGGTCTCCTCCTTCTCTGGATCCCTCCATTCCAGGATTTCTGTA